CAGGCGCGCTCGCGCCCCCTCTAGCCCCGCCGCAGGCGTCGATCCGAGCGTCCGGCTGATGGCCGGGCTCTGCGTGTCAATAACCAGAAACGTTTCGCCGCGAGCTCCGGCCGGCAGCACAGCTCCGTCCACGCCAGCCGTGGAAAGCCAGCAGCCCTGACCTGAGCCCCGCGCGTCGTCCCTATCCCTCAGCGTCGCTGTGACCCCAAAGGAGGGGACACTCATCCCTGGTGGCTGCGTGGGACCGGACCCGGCTCCCTCCATCCCTGCGGGACCCTGGCCGTGCCGCAGGGATGGATTTGTCACCCTTTGCTGCTGTTATTAATGGCGGTAAGGGGACAAGCGTCTCCCAGCCCGCTGCTGCTTGTTTGTTTATTTTCTCAAGCACCACGGCCAGGCTAATGAACGTACCCCCCCTCTGCCCCCGGGTTCTGCCTCTGCACCCAGCTCAGGAGTTAAGCTCATTAGCAATAGCAGGCACGCAGCCCGCTGGAGAGGGGCCCTGTGGCCCGGAGCAGAAATAATTGTGGCAATTAGTGCGGCAGCTTCAGGGTGTTTCAGTGGGTGGGAGGGCGAGGAATTGGGTGCCGTAGCCCCCCCGTCCGGGAGGGGACCTGGTGGCATCCCTGGCCAGTGGCCGGGAGGTGCCCGGAGCCTTTGTGCTGGCGCTGGCGCATCCAGAACAATGCGACAGCTCCGGCCTTTTATCAGGACCCCTGAGGTTACTGCGCTATGAATAAATTACTTGGTGGATGGGCTGCGGAGTCATGAGCTGGGAAAACATGAGGAAGGCTCCTACCTCCTCCTCCTCCTCCTCCAGCAAAGGGAGGCTCAGCTCCTCTGCACCTGCTGCAAGGGACGCTGTGTGCATCCCCGCTCCCGAGCCTTGCAGACGCTGTTTGCACTTCGCAACTTTGCTTCGTCCGGCCCCGTGGTTTGGGGTTTGCCTCGGCCGGTGATCGCGGGCAGCACCAGGCCGGTCTGGTCTGGCCAGTCTCAGCCGCAGCCAGAGGTGTTTGTTTTTGTTGCCAAGCCCGGGGGTAGCCGGCACAGGGTCTCCGTCCGTGAGCAAAGCCCCACGGCAGTGGGACGGGGAGATGGGGACGGGGAGCCCCTCGCCGGGGCTGCGCTGCAGCATCCGAGCTGGTTATCCTGCCTGGCCGGGGAAAATGCCAGGCTTGGCTGTGGGCTGGCCCTAGCCCGGATCTGCCGGCACAGGGCGGCGAGGCCGATGCTTTCCGGCCTCTTGAGGTGGTC